ACTATTATGTAAGATTTGCAAGAATTGTTACTTTATAAAAAACAATTTTATACAATAAAGTCTTACTATAATTTCTTACGATTCTTATTACTCGTGTGTTACAAGATGTATGCTTATAATCAGGGCAATCAAAATATGCTTACAATTAGAGTACATTTTTTATTGTTTGACTAATACAGAAATAAACTAGAAATTTGTTTATTAAAAATATTTTTTTATTAAAAATATTTCTAAATATATAAAAATTATTTTTGCGTATTAAAAAAGGGAATTTTTTCAAGATATTTAGAATACTATAATCAGCTATAATATAAATTTGTTTTTAATTCAACATTTTATTCAAAATAAATATAATATTTAGAGAAATAAGAATATCATAATAAATCATTTTCAGTATGAATTTAATAGAGATGCAAGATATTAAAATTTACATCATTTAATTTTATTTCAGTAAAAACATTTCAGTTTATTTTATGATACAATATATAAGGATCTGTCTTTATAATATACACTTTCGTCATTCTTCAGTAAAAAATATCTTACTATTATTAAAGTATACAAAAAATACAAAGATGTTACAAAATTGCTAAAATTAATCATAAAACAATTACACTAACATTACATAACATTATAGTATAATTATTACTACCATTTTCTAGTCAATTTATGTTATTAGTAATATAAGTTGCAAAACATTCTAGCCACTCAGGAAAATGGGATATTAAAATTAATGAAATATCTCTATTTTTATTGTAGATTTGTTTCATAATCTGTAAAGTATATTTACGTGTCTGCGCTGTATGATGATTAGACTTTATCCTTAATAAAATTATACATGAACGCAATTTCCTGGGATAAAGATCCAATATATCTGTATCATAATTTTCACAACAAATAAATATTCGCTTTAACATCAAATCTATGAACTCTAGGACTGAAGATGCATATTGCAGTTGAACTAGTAATTCCTTTAAAAAATTAAACATTAATTGAAAAACACATGCAGACCTGGCACTAAGTTCTAATAAGTTGTGTAGCATCTCCTCATTATTTTGGTTATCTATATTTTCTTTCTTCAAATTAGAAAACATGCACACAAAACTATTGAGCAAAGGTTCTTCTATTAATTTAAACTTTTGTACAGTATATATTTCTTCCTTCGTGGATAGTTTAAGATGCAAATTTGAGCTTAGAGTATTATGTAATAGTTTTTCAATTTTATCATTTGCTTCCAGTTGTAAAAGTCTTACGAGTAATCGATCCGTATAATGCATAAAAATTGTATGCTTAACTGACAAATGCATTACAGAAACAGTTAAACGTATCAAAGTATCCTCCGAGTAGCAATTATTTAAAACATCATCTGTGAGATATTTGTCTAAAAGAATACTCATAAACTTTAAGCTATTTTTTTTGGATGTAAATATTTTCAAATGTTTGAAATTGTTTGTCATTCTACACCAGTTCCGTAAGACATCCTGTAACATAATCATATTAGAATATCAATTATAGAATAGCTTAAGAAAAGCATTAATTTATATTTTAATGAACAAACAACATACAATTATTAATAATCGGATTGAATAGCGTTGATAAGCTTCTTTGGATATTTTATAACACAAAAGACTACTCAGTGACAGGCATAATGTATTCAATATTGTATCAGATTGTAGGGAAAGCAAGATTTCCTTTGACATATCCTTGCAACTCTCAGACTGAATAAAAGTTTCTGCATCATTATAACTTTTTAATATCGCTCTTAATATATCTGCATCCATATTATAACTTGCAATATAAGAGTACATAAACATACAATTACGTTATGTTGTATGTACTGAATTGTTATTTACAATTCATTATGAGACTAACCTAAAAAAATGTAATATTTATATACACATAGTAAAACTAATTTAAGTATAATTTTTAAAGTAAATAAAGAAAAATCAATAAATATTTATGCATTATTTTTCATAGATATTAATAAATAAATTCAGATTACGTACTTCTATACGTAAATGTAAGATTTAAAAAAACCGATTAATTTAAAAGTGTAAATTAAAGTAACAGACACATATAATATTAATAAATTGAACGATTTCTCCAGAGTCCTCTTTCTACGCCAATAATGTTTTGATAAGTAAATTAAGAGAAATTTAGAGAAAAAAATGTTGCAAATTAGCTTTACAATCCACAAATCTGTTTGCACTTTTTGCACTCAGGCTGCGTTCTGCCAGAGAGAATCCTGAGAACATATCCGCGATTTTTAGCTGCGACGGGCGATTGAGCTGGTTTCAGCGCCTCTGGAAAGTGGACATTGAACTATCAACTAGAAAGACCAATGAGAAGCACGCTTTCCGTTCAACGCGTGCTTCTCATTGGTCTCTCTAGTTGGTAGTT